ATTTTTCTGTGATTCATTAAAAAGTAAAAAAATGCACTTGATTAAATGTAAGATTTAATTTATAGTAAACAAAACTATGCTCATGATTTATGAGAAGAGGATTAAAATTTACTATAAAGGATTGTGATTTCATCTTGTTGATATCAGAAAAAGAAATATTTAGTTCTTATATGATTTCTATTTTATTGTTTTAGGTATAGCTTATGCTTTTGTCAAATTGAATAAAGTTTATTTAAACTTATTTTATAGGGCTTTTTGCCACAGAGTTCTTTCAAGTCGAAGTCACATTTTAGAAATTGTAAAATAAAGAATAGAAATAAATTCTATTTATTTTTAACCTAAATGTTTTTGTTTTGTTTTAGGCCACAGTGACGTAGTAATGGGCTTAGTGTCTGTTAATTCTGAAAGCCTCCATGATAGGCTTCGTTTCTTACAGAACGGTAAGTATTAAAAAGTCCAGAATTATTCATATGCTCTCAGTAACTATATTTCACATTTGTATTCCCATTAAATATTGTGAAGTGATAGCATTCTAATAATATATGAGAAAATTAGGAATGGAGGGAAAAAACTTCTGATCTTCAGAGGAAAGTAGAAAGAATTGGGTTGTAAAAATATAATTATAGCATAGCAAGTCTTTATGCCATGACACAATGAGTAAAAATATAATTATAGCATAGCAAGTCTTTATGCCATGACACAATGAGTTTTGTTGTTTTCATATCTATGTTAATTTTAATCATAATTTGGAAAGCCTAAGTGAATTTTTAATTTTAAGACTTAATGGATTTTTTTTTTGTAAAAAATATTTGAAATGAGGGATTTCATACACTATACTTTTTATATTTGGAATGATGGTTAATTTTAAAGAGCACTTCAGGTATAAACTTATGTTTTTCTACAGATATCTAAAAACCATTTCCAGTTTATATTGTTTAGTTTATCTCAAGAGTGGATAAGGATTTAAGCATTACAATATGACAGATAAGATAAAAACATAATTAGGAATAAAAATATTATTTAGGAAATAGCTATTAACGTCACAAAAGGAGACACTGAGGAAGGAAACCAAAACTTACTGCTCAGAAAATACATTTTCATTTACAAAAAGTAGGAATAAGGTATGTATCCTGGAGGCATGTGAAATCCTTGGCAGTCCTAGACAAAGGATGAATGGAATGCTGGTAGAACATTCAGTAATAATTGCTGTTGAACTTGTATTTTTCTTTTTCAGAGAAATATAAGGTTAGACTATGTGCAGTATGTCATTTCATTAAAATCATAGAAAGGACTTTATATCTTCATATTTGAAAAGTTCATATGATTGTGTTTTTACTTCGTTTTTCAGATATTCATTTCTTCTATTTTGAAGTAAATTTCTCTAAGCATATTTTATGTTTCATTCTCTTTCTTCTGATGTGATATATGTGCCCCCAAAATTCAATCATTGAGCTGTGTAGCTGGGTCTCAGAGTCACTCTAATGAAAGAGAGAGACCAGAGAATTTTCTGGACCCCCCACCTTGCTTTCAGACTAACGCAAGATGTGTTCATTTTGCAGCTCTTGGAACAGTTCCGTCTCCTGTTGACTGTTACCTCTGCAATCGAGGTCTGAAGACTCTGCAAGTCCGAATGGAGAAGCATTTCAAAAATGCAATGGCAGTTGCCCAGTTTCTGGAGTCAAATCCTCGGGTAGAAAAGGTTGTTTATCCTGGTATGTTAATTTGATTTCTAAGCAGATATGCCTATACTAGGATTTTAACAGTTATCCTGAGTGTCTTGTTTTTGTAACATTTATTTGTAAGTTAGAAATTTCATATGTATTTATGTTGGTCATTTATTTTTGAACACTGCCATGCATCAGTCTCTGTGGTGGGTCTAGTGGAAAGAAGATGGACATGATCTCTGTCCTTATGTTGCCTAGAGTCTAGTAGATGCTTGGATATTAGAAATCAGTTTTATACGTTAGATGTTCCTGTGGTGATAGTTTGAAGGGTTGTGTGCACCTATTGAAAGATTGCAACATTTTACTTTTCAGGTGATTTGTTTGTAATCTTGTCAGTCTGCTGTTCTGCACTAGCTCTAACTTCAATGTGATAGAGCAGTAGTACCCAAGTTTTTGGCACCAGGGCAAGCTTCATGGAAGACAGACCTTGCATGGCAGAGGTGGGGGTGGGAGTGGGAGGGCAGGAGCATGCGGGGCGGTTTAGGCGAGGAGGGGGAAGAGTGGTGGTTCCAGGATGTCCCAAGCCCATGACATTCATTGTCCAGTCAAACCTCTTGGTCAATGACAGTCTGCACTTGCAGCTGGTCCCCAGCAGCAATACCACCGCCATGGGGCCCCCCAGATCCCCCCAGATCACGCCAGCACCAGACTCTCATAGGGAGCAACATAGATCCCTGCATGCACAGTCCACAGTAGGGTTTGTGCTCCTCTGAGAATCCAATGCTCCTGATCTGACAGGAGGCGGAGCCCCTGCGGTGATGCCAGAAATTTGCAGGAGCCTCA